CACGAATCATGGAGGCAGTAGAGAGCTTTTTGTCTGTTAATTGCCTCTGGAAAATCTAGCGCATAGAATTTTTAGACCACTTGCTTCCAAAATATGCTAAATAAAACCTGATTGTGATCTGAGCTGATGTGTCAGAAAGGAGGGTTCAGCTGTCCCACATGACACGTATAAGCGTGACGAAGTCTGGCATCATGCTTCACTGCTGTCTTTGTATAGGAGCATAATGGATTACATGACGTCTGACACGTAGAACGGACCCAGTGTTTTTGAGACAGAGGATGAATCTGATCTCCTCACCAAGATCGTCATGGCGAATTCAGCATCAAGCACACCCCCCTCCCCAATCCCCATGCGCGCAGACACACAGACACATAGACACATGGCTCTGTGTGCGCTCTGCCCCATGCACATAGAGGCGCTGATGCACGGCTCTGCGCTCTGTCCCGTGTACATAGAGGCGCTGATGCACGGCTCTGCGCTCTGTCCCGTGTACATAGAGGCGCTGATGCACGGCTCTGCGCTCTGTCCCGTGCACATAGAGGCGCTGATGCACGGCTCTGCACTCTGTCCCGTGTACATAGAGGCGCTGATGCACGGCTCTGCGCTCCATCCCGTGCACATGGAGGCGCGGATCTGCACTCTGTCCCGTGCACATAGATGCACGGACACACAGCTCTGCATTCCATTCTATGCTTGTAAGAAGTCTGTCAGTTCTGACTTCTAAATGAAGATTTGAATGGAATAGAAACTCAGACTTTAATTAGCATTGTTATTGAATCTGGGTTGAAAAAGGGGCTTATTCACAGCGGCAATTAGTCCGTATAGGCATCTGCTACACATAACCTTTTCTCTTTCACTGAAAATGACAATACTAAAGGGAAAGGACAGTTGGAAATTAAAAGGCAGGGCAGTGGGAACATCTGTCTGATCTGATTGGTCACCTGTCGCAGCCCTATGTGCAGTCTGTTTTCATATTTGTGGTGCCTTCTAATGGGTCCTGTCCTCCTTTCTCTGTTGACTGTCCTCCTTTTTTCTTTAAACAGTCCCTTCACCTGGTCCGTCAGGAGATGGTTGTGTCTCAGCAGCAGCTATCAAACTTCTGTGAAGCTCTGAAGCAATACTTGAAGATCCTGTCTGCAGAGAAAGACTGCTTCCAGTGAGTGTAGCTGTCCATTTATCTGTCTGGGTGATTCTTGCTGTCTGCCTGACAGCATCAGTGCTTGGCTGTCTGTCTGTCTATCTGTCTGTTTGTGAGTTTGTGGCTCCCCCCCATCTGTCTGACAGTATCAGAACCTGTCTGTGTAGCTCTTCCTGTCTGTCTGACCAGGTCAGTGCTTGGCTGTCTGTCTGTCTGCCTGTCTGTCTGTATGTGGCTCCCCCTGTCTGTCTGACAGCATCAGTGCTCAGCTGGCTGTCTGTCTGTCTGTGCTTGTGTTGCTCCCCTTGTCTGTCTGACAGTATCAGTGCTCGACTGGCTGTCCATCTGTCTCTCTGTGAGTATGTGGCTCCCCCTGTCTGTCTGACAGAATCAGTGTTGGACTGTACATAAGCTGCATTATGCTGATGTTCCTGGATGGTTAAGTCCCTGTGAAAACACTGCCACCCAGTGGCAGATGTGGAAACAACTGGGGAACTCTCTTAAAGCGAGGGAATCCCCTAAGACCAAAAATGTTTCTTAGGCTTGGTAGCATGATCATATCTAACATAAGGACTGTGGTCTTACACATCCTCTTACACATCCTCTTACACATCCTTGATTAGGGGTGCACATCTTGACTGACAAATGGCTAGAGGTTTACAGTCCTGCAGTTGTTTTTGAGGCAAAACAGAGCAGGGAACCTCAAATGTGTGAAATATGATAAAACGATAAAATAAACTTAAGCGTATCTGGGCACATCCTTGATAAAGATGGTGAGTCTAGCTTTTTTGTAAATGAAGTGGGTGAGAGGAGAATGGCGGTGTTCCATTGAGCAGGAAGGCGGGGTATGGTGGGACACCCCCACGAGAAGCACACTGTCACATCCGGAACCTTCTCACCTTTACTCACTCGCTGTGCAAATTTCATGCTTGTCTTGGTCTTATAAGGTTATTTGCACACACCGCAAAGCTGCTTGCGCCCTACAACTTGCCTCACCATTATTTATACATCTGCATGTTTATAAATAGCATCGTTATTCTTGTTTTTATTTCTATTAGATTTTTATCCATATTTATTATCTTGTGCGTTTGTCTTGATTGCATGTTTAATAAATTCCATGTACTTGTTATACTTGGCAAATAAAAGGATTCTGAGTTTGATTCTCAATAAACAAACACGCTCACTTATGGAAAAGGAAGATCCCCTCCCCCCCAGCCTCGAGTGGAGTTTCCTACAGAGAAGGGGTGTGGCAGTTCTCTTATGGCAGGCCGTGCAATTTCCTGGCATAGGTTGAGTCCACTTAGCTCTTCAGAGGGGGGGATTATAAACACAAAGCCATTCTCAGTGATTACGTTCATCCTGTGGCGCATCTCCATCCTGAAGGGGCAAAACCCTCCAGGATGATTGTGCTCCTCTTCACAAGGAGGGTCACAGAGCGGTTTGAGAATGAAAACGTGGTGAGTCGTCAGTCACCGGATCTCAGCTGAGCTCTTTACGAGAGATTCTGTAATCAAATCAACGTTGTTCGAGTGTCACTTGAATTTAATTAAATGTCATTTAAGGGTTTTTATCAGATGAGCAGAAACAAAAAAACAACATCTGGAATATTTCCAAGAACGATGAGATGCTTCAGGCCTTATGGACATTACATGTACCATGGAACAGTATAGAACGTATAAAGCACATCGATATGTCTGATTCATTTTTGACCTGTGATTTCTACCTTTACATGTGAACCTCGAACAATAACCCCTTGCTCACTTTCAGTCAGTCCTTTATGTGCTGCGTACTGTCTTCCTCCTGCAGAGACTGAGACCGACATTCTAGTCCCTGTCGGTTTAGGCTTCCTGTGATATTAGCCCCGTCGCCATTCGGGGAGCAAGGCAGACTTCTCCCTCTCTGAGCCTCTGCTCTCCTCTCTTTTCCCTTCCCCCCTCAGTGTCACGGCTGTGAGGCTGCCAGACGGCCTGTCCTTTGTTGTGTATGAGTTCTGGGAAGGAGCAGGAGAATGGAAAAGGTAAGACGGACATGTTTTTAAAGCTGTGTGAACCTGCAGCTGCCAGACACCGCAGATGTTTTTCCCCAAAGTGAGACAAATATCCTGAGCACGTTTGCCATCACTAACTCAGGGGAATTTACTCTCAGTGTCTTCAAAGCGTCCTCTGCTTCCTGTGGACAGTGTTTGACGTCCTGATTGGCTTTCGGTCCTCATGGCCGTCCTTCCCCCCAGGCACCTCCAGAGCAGGACCTACAAGGCCTTCCAGCACGTGAAGGTGGACACGCTGTGCCAGCCAGAGGCTGTGAGCACTGTCGCCGTGCCAGGTGAAATGCCCGCCCCCCCAACATGGTCCAGTCTGTATTCAGCTGACCTGCGAGTGCTCAGGCTCTATTGTTATTCCGAGTGTGATGTCATTTCCTGCTGCGGCTGGCCTTTGGTGTATCTCTGACTCCCTCCTCTCCTCCTCCAGCTGCCTGGTGCTCCTTCAGCAGGGACTGACGTGGCTGAGCTGCCCTGCCCACAACCCGCTGTAGTCGGTACCCACTTTTTTATCGTTTGTTTATTTATTCTCGCGTCTCCTGTCATGACTTGGCGCTCAAACGCTCGTTCGGGACACCGTTCGACATCCTGCTGCGGCAGACTGAAGGAAAACGGCATCCACCATCCCTCCCTTGTGCTGCTCCATGCCCAAACGGGCAGGCCAGAAGCTTCTGCCGAGCCCTGCCCTCTCACCATGCTAACACAACCCACTCTATTATCATCGCGTGCATTAATAAGTCATTTCAGAGCGCATTTTGAAATCTATTAAAGAAAGTAATTCGCCATATCAGCCCCCGAGTAGCATAGATTGTTCAGGATGTCTTGGAACACTGCCTGATGCTAATGGTCAGACCATGGCACTGCCCCCTAGTGGCAGCATACTATAGAGGGACTCATTCAGTGAGTCTTTATGTCAACATCTAGGGGCTGCAGGTTCCTCTGCCCAGGCTCTCAAATGGAACTGAGCAGTACCAAAGTTCTCAAATTCAGAGGTGGTGGTCGTTTCCTCCACAGTCTGCTTTTAAGCAAGAAAGTATTTCAGATAGAACTCGACAGATAGAGGAAAAAAGATTTTAAGAAAGCAAGATTTATTTAAAATCCAGCCCTAACAGCTGTTTGGCTGATGTGCTGGGGCCTGGACCCAACAACCTTTCACACCCGCAGTCATGTAGCAAGGAGCATGGCAACCAGCTCATTAATACCTCCAAAGTCAGGGCCCTGCATGCCATATGAAAGCGTTTAGGCGACGCTGAGGGAGCTTCCTAGGATCTGCTCTAGATAACAGGGAGTAGAAAACAGCACATTGGACTTTGGACGCAAGTTATTTCGTGCAAACTGATGTACACCCACCATGGATGCTGTGAACATCATCGCAGCCTTTGCTTACCAAGTTCTGCATGATCATAACAACCTTAACTCACCCGTAGTGGAATATAGCGGCTCTTTTCATGTATTTTCTTTTTTTGAAAAAAAAAAACAAATTAAGAAACGGTATGAAGTAAAATGTGACTTGAATAACTGTTCACTGGATTAATAGAATTTCATATGATGATGTGTATCTCAGTAAACGTTCAGTGATGCAGTGAGTTTATGGACTCCAACAGGTGTGTAGTGGACACTGGTGAAATTGTTGAACTTCTTGATTGTTGGTGCTATGAAAGATATAACGTGAGGTGCTCAGTCATGAAGGGGGGGGGCAGGGGGGCTACACATAGACTAAACTATTAGCTTGCCTGCTTTTGTATATCAGTGTCTAAATGAATGTTAAAATACTGATGACTATTAAAACCAACCTGCTGGTGGATAATTATTTCCAGTCCATCCTCTCTCTTTGTTTACCCTACCCACCATTTATTCAATAATTTTCTGCATTCATAAATAAATATTAAATTACAGATGTAAAACTAACAGTAAGAGTTAACGCAACATTAAAAGCTTATTCAATATTATAAAATAGGTCCATCTCATTATAAATAGGTCCATCTCAAGCCCATTCCATCTTCTGAGTAGGAGTGACCCAAAATCCTTAGCAAAAAGAATCGGAATTGGTCCTACAGTAACAATTAGGTGGTGGTGGATTCCAGGGTTGAGGGCCCTTATTAAAAATCGGCACAGAGGTTAGGCCTGGGAGAGCTCCGTGACGTTACTGGTGACATAAGTGTTACACACGACTTCCCGCAAAGGTCGGCGATGTTCATTTCCAGAAGCAGTCCCAGATGCAGCCGTTGCTGATGAAGACTGAATCCTGAGAGTCCTCCAGTGACGCGTCTGCATTTTATGGAAATTAGAGCTCGTTAACGATCTCCATGATTGCGATGGTGGTGCTTTGGCCAAAGATGAAGGCACCACACAGGACAGTGGTAACTCCCCAGCAGGTCAGGAACACTCTGCTCCAGGGTGTGTCACCATGGTAACCGGGGGTGGGGTGGGGGGAGATAAAGTACAGCTAAGTAATGACAGCAATGTGGGAGATATTAGACACAAGTCACACTGTACCTGCATAACGTTGCATAACAGTTCCCTTGCTGGAAGTTACTGCATTTAAGCATTAAAATCCCCCCCCCCCACCTTACAAAGCCTAGTTTTGCCTAAAAGAATTCTACTGTTGCTCGTTTAGTCCCATGACACAAACCGTCATGCCATCAGTGGCCCAATTTAGTAAAGTCTGAAGACACTTGGACGTAACGCCGCTTAGAACCCGCCAAACTCCACATCAGACCCTCAGGCACAAACCCACATGCAGGAGGCCGAGCGCCCACCTTGTCCTGCGCTTCACGGGCTCCGACTGCATGATGAACATCAGGCAGAGTCCTGCAGGGGGCAGACACACAGCAAAGCCAGTTAAAACCGGGGACGCTCCGAGGCGGTTTCCTTAGTGACGGCATCAATGGAGCAGCGGCCCCACCTGGGAAGATGAAGATGAAGAAGGCGCTGATGCCACCGATGATACTGATGACTTTACTCATGTCGGGAACAAACATGGCGATGAGGAGGGTGACCGCGATCCAGATCACGGTCAGGACCACGCGACTGTGGTTCTCGAACGACCGTGTTACCACGGCGAACCGTCGCCGGACACGCAGCAACAGATTCTGAATCACAGACCTGTGGAGTCAACAAAACCACGCACTTAAATAATGTCGGTATTACATTCTTCTAAATAAAGGTAAAGTACGCTAATATTAGAATTAACTCTAAAGGTATCTAATAATTCTAGAGGATCTATTGTAAAGCATAGCTGAATTTTAAATGAATCTCCAACTGTTCATGACATCAGCAGCAGTTGTACCTGCCCAGGAGGAGAATAATGGGGTAGATGGTGATGATGGAGATGCCGAACAGCAGCCTGGAGATAATCATGGCAACGTCATTTTCGGGGTAGGACATCAGGATGTCAGCCGCAACCTTCTCACCAAATGTCAGGTAGCCAAAAACCCCTGAAATGTTGAGATAGGTGTGAGGACATGGTGGGCAGCCCTGCTGATGGTGACAGTTCCTTTATGGTGAGATGAGCTGGACAACCTCAGCTCTGTGAGCTGTTGCATGTTGGACTAAATCCCTTTGCGCTAGTGAGGGCAGAAATGACACCTCATGAACCATTTGCAGTATTTTCTGACTCTGCTAGATTCTGCCTCAAAGCAAGCGAAGAGCACCATCTAGTGGGGTCAGAAGTTACTGCAAATGGTTCATGAGCCATCATTATGGCCATCACTGATTTGCACCTTAACGTTAAGGCAGCAACCTACAGCAACTGTAAACTCATTGGCTTCCATACTGGTGTACCATAATGTCACATTCATATTCAGATAGTGCTGAGGAGTTCAGAGCTTACCGTTTCTCACTATTACCGGAAAGGGTTACCATGAGAGCAGCAAGTAGTAGTAATGGTCAAAATTAAGCCTCATGAAGCATTTGCTGTATTTTTTTTTTTTTTTTGAGTCCACTAGATAGTGCTCTTGCTTTGTGGCATGCTTAGAGCCCTTTTATGAACAGATAAAACACAGCAAATGTTTCACAAAGCGCAATTTTGGCCAGTAAGAACAGAACAGAGAACCCAGTGTGTAGGACGTCCAGAGAAGGGGACCTGCAGATACACCCACCTGTAAAGGAGTAGATGAGCAGGCAGATGAACATGGACACCACGGAGATGACCACCCAGTGGGAGAGCTTCTTGTTTTCCATGCTGCTGTAGATGGCAATACTGGCCTCGTGACACTGCAAACCCACCAAGAGAGTGAGCTATGAATAACTGGCAACACAGAGTACAGTGTGGGGCTCACACACCCCGGGGAGGGGGGGTGAGGCTTCACTGGGGCCACTCACCTGAAAACCAAAGCAGATCGTCGGGACAACGCTGAACATTGAAGCCCATGAACTTATGCTGAAAAAGGAAATAAGAACGTGCCAATGAATGGTTTGTTTCTCCAGGGCAGCTGGTATAAGAAACGTCTATTCCAAGGAACTAACTAAAATGCAAGTTATACGGTTAATAATGAAAATGATTAGAAATGGATCTCCCCTACCTCACAGCTGACTATGCCAGTTATGGACACGACGTTGGTGCTATTTTAGGCAACAGGTTCAAACATGAACCTTAAACAGTCCTCAAACCAACATTCTGCAATAACAGTTCACTACAAAGTGTCCACTATAAAGTCCAAGTAATCCAGTAAAAAAAAATGGCAGCCCAGGAACTGAAGGTGCCCACAAGATTACAGGATCAAACCCAAAGCTTTAATGTGGAAAATATATCATTTAAAAGTCTAACTTGATATGTCTTTTCACTGAAAGTGACTGTGAAAACACCATTGGCCACCAGCAATAACCTGAGAAAAATACTATGTTTAATAACAGTGAGTATGTTTCCCAAAACTTCCCGTTAGCAGCTTACATACAGTAGCTCTAACCGTTCAACTGCATGCTTCCAGCTATACAAGTCGCTAACGTTGTTAGCAGCTATGCTTTTGGGAAACGTACCCAATGACAGACCCTATACCAAATTTTTAAAAACCCGCTTACCCACTGCTGTACGCGGGAGTGATGGAAACATGGTCCTCTTTCATGTAGTATTTTACGACGGTCGCCACCGACAGGTACGTGGCGGCCAGGGTCCCCAAAACGCTGGTGACAGAAGGGGACAGCAGAGACGGTGACAGCAGTGGTGCGGCTGTGTGTGGGCGCGTGTGGCTGCGAGGGGCGCACGCTCACCTGGTGTACTTCTGGATGCTGATCTCCTTGGGTATGGAGAGGGGAAGGATGACGACGAGGCAGAGCAGGAGCAGCGTGAGCCGCGGGTCGGTGTACCAGTGATAGGGCATCTCGGGGGAGCCCGTCACCGTCACGTACAGGGAGTCACACACTGTGGGGCACAGGGGTCACACCAGTCACAGGTCACTCAACCGAACCAAGACACGAGCAGCTCGGATAAACCTGAGCTGCAGAAGAAGCGCAGGCACCTCAGAGATCCTGATTTTATGAACCTGTGTTTATCTACAGGTATTTTACTCATGTCCGGGCTTAAATTCGGCCAAATATTTTTTGAGAAGCGCGGTCAGCCAGTTCCAGGACCAACTGGGGGTTATGAGCCTTGCTCAAGGAGCCATGGGCATAATTTCCAGGGGGGTTAGGGGGGTCATGACCCCCCCCAAATAATCAGATCCAGCCAATATAACCCCCCCAATAATCATGTTTCCCCTGTAATGGGTGGAGACCTCGACTCCCCCAATGTCCCAAACAAAGTTACGCCCTTGCAAGGAGCTGATAGTGAAATCATTCTGCCAAGCCTGGGATTTGAACCTGTGACCTTATGATTACAGATGCAGCGTTCTGTGAGAGTGAGTGTCAAGAGATAGACTGGCATCCAGTTTGGGTGTACACCAGTCATGTGTCTTATAAGTGGTTAGATCAGTGGTTCCCAAACTGGGGGGCACAGAGGTATTGCGGGGGGAGCGCACCAATAGGATAGCCTCAGGGGCATGTGCCACCTTAAAATAATCTCTTCACAGACTGGACGATTAAACAAATAAAGCAGCGCAACATTACAGTAACTAACAATAAATAAACCACTAACTTACATGTACTATTAGAGAATTTCTGTAATTTAGTTAAACTTTATTTTACCGGGTAAATTAACTGAAAACCAGTTCTCACTGCTTTACGTGATGTTCGGGAGAAATAGCAGATAACGCATCGGAACTTCCTGGGATACAAATGTCATACAAACGTCACATTCTTCAGCCAATAAGGGCAAAGTTGTGTCGCCACGGAGGCAGTTCCAGTTTGTTCAGCCGGCTGAGAGGTGCTGTACGATCTGTCTTAAGTCGTCTTGCTCTTGCAAGGTTTTTGTACCATGTGACATGGTGACGCGTGACGACGTTTTTCAGCACCGGTGTTCTGACGAGTTAAGCTACCTATCGAAACGTGCTATCGAGCCTTTCAGCGCATGTGCAGCTTCACCGTCTTGGAATTAGGGTTAGGTTTTAGGGGTTAGGGTTAGGGTTAGGATAAGAGTTAGGATTAGGGCTATCGATTAGCACTACGGTAGCCTAACTCGACAAAGTAGCTCAACTCGACAGAACACCTGTCAAAAAATCTAACCATATCATGAAAAACGAGGTTTAAAATTTTCTACATGAAGTGCAGGGAGACTATCAATTAATGGGTATGATTTAGTGTTGTTTTGTGCTATAGTATAAACTGAAACCTGTGGTTATCATTAAAAACAAAATGCGGTAATCGTAAGACAAACTTTAATTTGTGTAATCTAATGAATATTAACAGGAATGTTAAATCTGCATTTGCATAATTTCAAACTTATGCTGGACTTTTATTTTTGATTGATCGCTCTTTTTTCTCCCACAGTGGTGAAACTGCACCATTTGTATTTTGTAATTGCATTTGTTTAGCTCAATTAGAAAAGGGAGTTGTATTTCAAATAAAGTTTGAATCTGAACCTGTGTAGTTTGAATGGGGGGGGCTTCAATAATGTTCCTTTCTAGAAAAGGGGGGCCCTGCAGAGAAAGTTTGGGGACCACTGGGTTAGATGATATCTGGATGGATGGATGGATGGATGGATGGATGACTCACACTTCTCCAGCTGGTCCTGCACCACGACCAGGAAGGCCACCGAGATCATGAAGAGGTTCAAGACGAAGCAGACTTCGCAGAGGTGTCCGATGGCCGGCCCACACAGCTCGCGCACCACGTCGTGGTAGGTGTTCTGCCTACTGATGGATGAGGAGTAGCCGAGGATCACCAGGCCACTGATGAGGAACACCAGTGACCCCTGGAGGCAGAGGGCAGGTGGGCTGCTCAAGGTCTCTCAGCTTTGAACCAGCCTGTTCCATAGCTGCACTGCAGTACACTTTCACAGGTTTCCATAGCACATCCCACACATGAAAAGTACCTTATAAATACATCAATGAATACCCATCTTTGGCTGGGATGTTACCAAAAAAAAAAATAAATTGCAAGTTTTGGTAAATTACTACAAGCACATTTGTTTATTTATCAGATGCTTTCATCCATAGTGACATACATTTTGAAGAAAGGTCAGCTAGTCCCTGGAGCAATTAAGGCTTTAGGATTCTGCCGACGCCAGGATTTGAATCGACGACCTTCTGACGTCCGACTGTGGCACACAGTACCCCCTACAGCTGTTCACACTCTTGGAATGTTTGACTCCATAAACCAGTGTTTCGCAAACCAGTCCTTAGAGACCCCCAGATAGTCCAATTTTTTGCTGTCCCCCAATTCCCTTGGAGTTGGGAGGGAGAAAAGATGTAGATTGTCTGGCGGCCCCCCAAGGACTGGTTTGAGAAACACTGCCATAAACATTACATTGACCTGCTGGCTTCAAGTCAGCTGCTACAGCAGTGAAATACCTTCTGTTGTACCCAATGGAGGGGCTCAGCAAGGGGGAGGGACAACAGTTATCAACATTGCCCCCCCTTCCCCCCCCATAAAGTGCCCCTAACTCAACTCCACCCCCTTCATTATAGCCAGGGTGTGAAGAAGGGACATGCATTCACACCATATGTGGGAACTTCAGCATCAAGGCAAACACTTCTATCCGAAAGTATAGGTCTATGCCTGGCCTATACACCCCCCCAACAAAGACACTGCCTATTAGAAACTGACATTGGATATTACGTGTAAATTCACAGGTGTGAGGGATTGTGGTTAATCACAGACTTTTGTTTGAAAAATGAAATTTAAAATGTACATATACCTATCAAACATTAAACTAGTATGGGGTCATAAAGCCTGTCTCAGGAAACATGGGGCAGGGGGACACCCTGGATGGGATGGCATAAGGACCGGCATTCCAGGGTGCCTTGTGCCCTATGATGGAGGTGATTCCCCATGCAAGGGGGACCACTGAGCAACTGCATCACCCATGGTCAGAGGAATGCAGGGATTTATGAGCTTTGGGTAGGCATGTCAGGGCAGGGCAAGGTACAGTTGAGCGGGGGTGTCCCAGTTTTCGCCTGCAGATATTTGTTGCCCTAGGTACCAGCCAGCATGACACAATAACAAATCAATTCCCATGGATAATATTCTACAACAAAAGAAAGCTAAATAATTCCATATATTTCGGTATAAAACGATGACAGATCACGGATGAGTCCCGCAGAAAGTCAGAATTTTATAAGAACTAAATCTAAATACCATACTATTTCATTTTTGTGCGCTTCTTCTGTAAATAATATTATCCATACTCACCAGTTCCACCCCGATGGCGGTATTGACTCCTCCCGCTTTGTGAAAAGCCCATGGGAAGTTGAGAAGTCCTGCACCCAGCGCCGATTTCAGCATTATAAACACGGCACCGAACGAGCCCAGTCGTGGGCCATCGGTGTCCAGCGCCGGTTTGCCCAGCAAGCTGATGCTCTCCCTGGCCAGTTCCTCCATGCTTAGACGCGTGCCTACTCCCGACAGACCGGCCGGTTCTCGCTGGGATAGTGCGTCCTAAATATACTGCGAAAGGCGGGGACACGGTGATGGGAGTATATGGAGGTGTTTCCACACCGCAAAAAAAAAAAAATCTGTTTTATGTTCATCCATCGTTAGCGGTTTTGAAGAAAGAAAAAAAAATAAAAACAGTGAAATAAGTTTGACAAGTCTACATGTAATGACCTATATTTGCTCTTGATACTTAGAGTATTATTGCGTATTTATACCTATTTCTTTATTCTTCAATTAAAATTGGGACTACTTTTTTTCTACAAAGTTAAACATTCTAGTAACTGACAATACAATTCCACTTACTGTCATACCAGATAAGACTACTTTGTCATTTAATTGATACATACATGCCAAAAGAAACAAGAATAGCCTATAAATTTGCCAAACAAATTCGGCCTTATCATGGTAAAAAGTATATGCAAGTTTGATGAGGTTTAAGGGAAGGTACGCTTTAAATGCTGGTTCTTTTACACCTAATAAACCGAACTAGACACGCGGCATTTGGTGTGCCACCCAACACCATGTCAAACGGTGCGTAAAATGAAAGTTACGCGTGGGTAAATAGTGTCACCTCGGTGCCTGGCTTCGGGGAAACGTGTGTTCATGGCACATTTTTTGGAGGTCCCGTGGGACTGAACATCGTCGCCTGGTTAAAAAAAGAAACGCGTTATTATTGGAATTTGCAGCTGACTGAGCAGAACGAAGGACTGAAACAACTAACTAAACTGAAAAACTTCATTCGACGCCCTCCCCCCGAACTTACCATGTAGGCTACCCGAAACAGAAGCTCACATTAATATTTAAAAAAAAAAAACCCACAATAAATCACATTAAAACTGAATTTCCCGTGGGTTTCGACCCACTTTCTACATTCTCATTCTAAATCAATAATCAAGCACATCTCACAACGCGTTGTACTTAATCAGATTAAATAGCCTGGCTGGGCCCCTCGAATCAGATGTAATAGCTTGTGTGGATTAAGCTGTGAGTAAAAGCACCCAGAAGTGTGAACAAGCCACAACGCCAACGCCTACGTGTGAAAAGGTACAAAGCTGGACTTACACTTTCAAGGAGCACTGTGAAGCAGACACGCTTAATACTCACTGACACAAAACATTCCTGCCAGCGCCCCCCAATCTACCGCTGAGGACGCCGAGGTCATGTCCTCGGTATTTTACGTGCATTTTCTATTGGGTTATTTTATTGAATGATGCGCTGACCGCAAAGCTGACCGAGAGATCAGATGTCATTCTATTTGAGTCGTATCGAATCATAAACACAAAATGTATTAATTTACACCGTAGTCTTGAAAATCTTGGGGGAGCCTCCCCCCCAACGGGAAGGGCTAATACGTTTGACCTCATCATTTTAAAAAATTCTGGCTATGGCCCTGCCTGGCAGGGAAATGGTTCGCGCTGCTTGTGACTGGAAGGCCAACAGTTCCAATCTCTTGCTTAGCAGAATAGGTGTATCTCCGCTGGGCGCTCAAGGAAGGTCCTTAATACAATTAAAGAATTCCAGGGATTCTATACTCGGGCAAATGAAAAATGAAGCATCATTTAATTTAATTTCATTACAGGGGTGCCCAGACCTGCCTCCATGGTAGGGCTCTAAGCTTATCAGGCAAGATATTGGTACCTTTTTGGGGATCATTATTAGATCATAGTTGCCTTATCCCCCGTTCAAACGCAAGGGGGTAGACGCACTCAGCTGATTGGGTATTTGCCTAATAATTATCCTACATTATATTTTCCAGTTACGAATGTAAAACAACACTATTATGACTATTATTTACGGGTGAAAATACAATTTGACATTTACTGATGTAATATAAGTTTGTAACGCCCTTTAAAAATTCTTTCTATCCAGTTGGATTGTTTTGTTCAATTCTCTTACACCCTGTAGAGGGCGACAGCTGATCTTTTACTGGAGAACTCGGCGGTACTTTGCTCGTTTAAATTTCTTGCAACGGACATAAAGTGTATGTAAAAGTCTTGCAAGTAGAAGCCTGCTAACCAGGAGACGATCTCGATACAGCGCAGTGCAATTTACTCTAATAGCTGAGGTAATTATATGTCATTTGTATTGTGACTTGTCACCTGTCGTGAGTCAATGTACCTTGCACGTAAACTCTTTTTATTTACTCTATATAGCATATTATATACAATATAGTCTACATTTTTACACAGCATATTTTAATTTTATTTTTGAAATTTCGTAGTCTTTGTATTTCTTTTAGTAGCAGCTGTTCCAGGTTTACTGGAAATGCACGATGACAAAGACATTCTGACTTTCTGTTCTAATTACTGTTGCGGCTTTGGATCTTATAATTCACTTGTTAATTAACTTATTACAGCCCTTAAATTTATATATACTGTGATCACTATGGTATTTTATTTATTGAGATTACGCGCAGATGCAGTAATTTTTCTGACGTTTCACGATTAAAACCAATGAAAAAGCTCATCGCATTTACTATTAGCATATATACTCATCCAATCAGAGCAGAGCAGCTTGTGTTTACGCTGTTCCTATAGTAACGTACAAGCGTTGTGGAAGGGAAACCACGCTGTACCTAGGTAATGCAGTTAGCCGGGCAAAATAAATTGTAAATATCAAACATAAAAGTTGAAGTTGAACCTAAAAATCAGTAACGTTGTAATTGAAAGCTCGTCATCCGAATAGTTAACTAGCGTATAAGCAACACGATTAAGTAGTTATTAAGGAAACTGTTCAACGTGTTTTAAAGATTAACTAGACAGCTTCCAGGATGCAGACGAAGCTGTGCCCTTTGGCAAAATTAGAAGAAACGGTAGGGGGAAACTCGAAGGGGAGCCATGATTTTTGTACGGAGGTCAAAAACTCTACTAAACACGGTAAAACGTATATATAATTCTAAACTGTAAAATGGAATTAATTAAATGAATATTATATATTTATGTGTGTGTGTGTGTGTGTGTGTTTGCTGCCCTGACATGAGACTGTGGGCTGCATTTTAATCAAGTCGGTACTATTACCGCCACTGTTGCTGTTTTGTGTTATTTTATGGGTGTCTTGTCATACTCCTCCCCCACCCAAGACGGCCACGCTGCAGGTGGGGAAACTGACCTTTCGGACCGGGTCAGACAGAAATGCTTGGAGGCTGACGGGCAAAAGTGCAAATCAGGACCCAAGCAGGACAAGAATGACAAGGACCCAGGTCCCAGGTACTGGCCGAGTCACGAGCACAGATCAGAGCAATGCAGCATGGCTTTTTATACCCACACTCTAAATATGTACTCTTTTCCTTTTAAAGCTCATACACTAAACGCAATATGGTAATTGCATGTACATTCTAAAACGCATATTTTCTGAGTCATTTTAATGTTCCTTTTCGATGTTGTCTTGCTGTACAGAATGACAAAGGAATTCCTAAAAGCCCACTGCAAACAGCATAAACTTTACATGACCCCATACCTGAATGACACACTCTACCTGCACTACAAAGGTACTGCCGATGTCCTACCTCACCACAGAGAAGCTGCCATTCATTTGTCAGTTAAAAGAGTTCTATAACTTCAATGCAATGCACTGCATTAAGAATGACCTGTAAATGGAGGCCACCATAGCAACTCGTAGTGGTATGGTCCTGCTTTCAAGCACAGATTTAACTCCACTACACAGATCATGCAAATACTCTCTGGTCAGAAAGGAAAGGTCTAGTTAGCCGGCACCTGGTGGCTACAAGCAGTGAAGGTACAGTATAGTGACAGTAGCACGTCTTCCCCAATCAACAGTTCTAGTTCTAAGGTAACCGGCGATTCACCTCGCGGGAAGGGCTGAGCTGTCACAAGGCTGAGAATCCACAGCACACTCGTCGTCTGCTTACAACCAGACGAGGAGCTGTGGCAGACAACAGATACAGAATTTGACATCTGAGAAAATCAGGAGGGAAAAATCTAGGGAGAAGTTAATTATGAATCAAGCATTAGTGGAAAGTATTTCCTATGTCTAAAGAACCAGGGCTAAGGGATTGTAATTTTTCATGTCTTTTAAATTCTTCAACTAATGTTAGTTATCAGGACAGGAACCAGTAACTCCACACTGACTAGCTGAACAGGGGGCAGGAAGGTGTCACCCTCAAGCCCTGAAGTTGAAAATTTAAAGACTTACAACTAGTATACTGTTCCACATGCATTTATTAAGAGTCCATTTATTCATCACCCAAAGCTGAACCCATTCTGAGGGCCCAGCCTCTGTGCTTGTGATCAGAAGGTCACTGGTTCGATTCCCATGCTCAGCAGAGCAGCCACATCTTTGTCCCTAACCCCTCCGATGTTTACTGCCCTGTCGTGTCCCATGCCATCTCCATCCTCCAGGATTCTCCACCATCGAAAACTTGGAGGAGTACACAGGGCTGAAGTGTCTTTGGCTGGAGTGTAACGGCCTGCAGCGGATCCAGAACCTGGAAGCCCAGGTCCAACTGCGATGCTTATTCCTCCAACAGAACCTGATCCACAGGCTGGAGAACCTGGAGCAGCTGAGTCAGCTGTGCACGCTCAACGTCTGCAACAACTATATCAAGCTTGTCGAGAACATCTGTAAGGGCTTTATGCGAGTGCTACCTGCTTCGTCTGTTTGTGGCAAATTATGAACATTTCTGTAAACTGGTTTTGCTTTGGAGAAATTAGGATTCATTTACATGCATTTTTTTAGCAGTTGAGTTTATCCAAGCGAAGGCAGACACCAGCCCTGTATACTGTGGCTTGCCACTTGTTCTAGAAACTAAATATAGTATTACAGCATTGTATTGAACACAATATGGTAATTTAACCACATAATATAGTCAATAACAGTAGCTAAAGATTACACCACAAAATCATTAGCATAAGGATAGCATTAGCATAAGAAAAAAATATATGCAGTGGATGTTTTTTATTAGTCTTTAGAGCTCAGTATAATTTGGTTTCTATTTTTAAGAATAACAAAGAGGAGGATGTTTATGTAACAGTAAAATAAAGGATGGGTAGTGTGGTGATGCAGTGGTTGGGAGTCTTGCCTTGCTCTTCTAGGGACTTGGGTTTGAGTCTTTGCCCTGTCTCTGCGGAGTTTGCATGTGCCTTCCCATGTCATTGTAGGGTTTCCTCTACATTCTCCAGTTTCCCTCCCAGTTCAAAAAAAGGTGAATTTGTCTTAGCAAATTTTGTGTGTGTGTGCCCTGCAATGTGTTGGCACCCCCTCCTGGATTAATCCCTGCCTTGCACCCGTAGCTTCTGAGATCCAGACCCACACAATCCTGCAAAGGACACGCAGGTACAGAAGATGGATGGAAAGATTAAGGAATTGTTTTCTTCTGTTCTTGTAGGAATATTCCTGTGTCAGCAGGTTATCTGTTAGCCTCACAAATGCGCCCCTATTTGGGTGACTTTTGGGTGGATGCGATACAGATGGATGTTGTGTGTTGCTCCTGTGCCCAGCATGTCTCCCTGAGCTGAGTACCCTGCAGCTGGGCCACAACGTCATAGAGAACATGCAGGACATCGCCCACCTGGCCCTCTGCCCCACCATCTCTGTCCTCGACCTGTCGCACAACAAGCTGAGAGACCCTGCCATCCTTGGCGTCCTCGAGGCCATGCCCAACCTCGTGCGTTCCGACTAAAATGAAGCCATATCCCGTCATGTCCTCTGCAGAACAGTCACATGCTCTCTGGGCCTTTGTACTTTCAGCCTTGTTCTTTAGCCACAGCTCATGACCGTATGTGAGGAAATGAAGGTAGACTGAACCATAAATGTTGCTATTTTGGGCTAAGTTTGTGATTGTGTTTGCCTTGTGGTTCTGTAGTAGAATTCTCACCCGCTATGCGGGAGGTCTGGGCTCGAATCCCAGCCATATCCTATCTTGATGTCCAGTGAGACACATACACATACGTACGTGTGTGTCAATGGAGATCAGGATGGGGTATTAAGAAAAAAAAAAAGTATTCTAAAATAGTTTCATTACAAATAGGCTGGTGAAGTGGAAATGACCAGACTTGTCATGTGACTCAGGGGAAGATGACATCATTGATCTTATTACATCATCAGTCCTGGAGCTCTGCCTGTTAGCAGAGTTACCAAGTCAGTTTTATTGTTATTTCTGCTGCTTTCAGAGAGTCCTGAATCTGATGGGGAATGAAGTCATTCGGAACCTCCCCAACTACAGGAAGACACTGATTGTGCGTCTGAGGCAGCTGACTTACCTGGACGACAGGCCTGTGTTCCCCAAGGACCGGTAAGGCCAGACAACCACCAGAGCCACTCAGATTGTCACAGAAGGCAGCTGGTTAGGGCCTCCTGATACCAGATTTACAGGGAAGGTGTCACCCTCAAGCCCATAGGGTATTCAGCTTTGTGCCTGTGATCAGAAGGTTGCTGGTTCGAATCCCATACTCAACATGGCAGCCACATCTCTATTGGGTCCCAGAGTAACCCAAACCCTGAAATTCTCCAAGGGTGCTGGACAAACGGCTGACTCTGTGCTCGGACCCCAAACTTCACTCTCTCCCCTGAATGTATGTATGTGTGTACAGTTTGTCCTAATAAAGGAGAGCAAGATGGGATATGTGAAAACGAACACATTCCATTGTAACGCACCTGATGCGCGCTGTTTATCCTGTAATACCAGTAAAGTGTCGCAAACCCACCGGATCGCTCTCACTAGTGCCACTGGGCCGCTGTGTGCTGCAGGGCGTGTGCCGAGGCCTGGGCCAGCGGGGGCCTGGAGGCGGAACGGGCCCAGCGGGAGATGTGGGAAACCCGGGAGAGGAAGAAGATCCAGGACAGTGTAAACGCAATGATCGCCATCCGGGACAGGGCCAGGGACAAGCGGAGACTCGAGGGGCAGCAGGAGCACGGTGAGGCGTGCAGGCCGGGCATGTGCCCATTTTATAGAGCAGAAACGATGGCGTGCTCAGAGATAAAAACACATGCTGGTCCTCCTACTGAAAGGGCAGATAACATACTCTGAACTGTATTCAAGGGCGCCCCCTAGTGGCACTTACCTGCTATGCTCTAACAGTCAAGGCAGCTGCAATGGCTGAGAAGCCGACTGGGCAGGAGAAGATTAAGGCCTTCGTTGAGGATTGCCTGCAGGCTCAGCAGGAGATTCAGGAGAGTGACGCTGTGGGAGGTCAGCCAGAGTTGAGGGCTTCCACTTTGCCCCATCAGAGCCAGGAAGCAGGACCTAGCCTTCCAGCTGCTGGTAAACACAGCTTTGGGGTCTGAATGGACACACTTCGATACTGGCATAGGGGTGTCACTCTCATTCCTTTATCCTTTACTTCAGATATGCCTGTCAAGCTGATGGCCACCCAGGGATCCTCAATTGCCGCAGAGCAGGGGACACAGCCGACGGCAGCCCAGGACAGCTTGCTGATCACAGAGCTGGATGTGGTGCCAACTGCCACTCAGGGGAAACGGCTGATCACAGAGCCAATGAATCAGCGTGCGGCTGTGGAGACACAGCCGATGGGCACTCAAGGTGTTTTCGTCACAGAGCTGGAGAGATCAGACCAATTGCAAACGATTCATTTGGACGACGATTCCAAGATCTTCATTGCTGTAAGCAGGCAGCTAAAAAGTTATTGTCTGAGCACAACAAAAAGCAATCGGGCAATGAAGCCACATTAAAACTAGAGATACCGAAATAAAGTCCTTGGGTGAATCTCAATACCAAGAACACAAAGATCATATTTGTGGTCCTTGCAGGACCGGTCTTGCTAACTTGCCTTCCAAGAAATAACTTGGGGAGCAATGAATCATGGGATTGGTCTCATTCAGCGAGGATGCAACTGACGTCCTTGATATTTGGGGGGGAGGGGGGGCAATACCAACGTGGGGATTTTTACCGTCCTCCATACTTCTGTTATTAGTATTGGAACTGGTCTTCGGCAATGGAAGATGATGTAAAACTGATACACAAGAACACCAGTACGGTCAATTACGCATATTGGGATTCACCCCTTATGTACGGTAACTTCCAAAAGGGAATACTCTTGCCTTGTTCCCTATTATTTTACCTTATAAATTAAGGTTGCAAAGGTGATGTTTTCTGTTTACCATTTAAGGCTCCAAAGTGAATGGAGCTAATAACAGGCATCACAAAAGGCTGCTATTCCTCTGCTGCAGGACCTTCCTGACTTGGAGGAGGTGGAGGATACAGACGTTTCTGCAGAGCAGGTATCTTCGTCGAAAGCAGGTGTTATTAGAGATGTACCACAAAGATGCTCTGGCTTGCAGTATAAAGGGAAAATAAAGGGAAAGTGACCCAGTTCTCTTTTAATTATATCTGTCCCTTTTTTTTCCCCAGTATGTGTTCCGACCGATAATCGAAGTGATCTCCGAGGAAGGAGAAACACACCCACAGTCGATCCGAGAGGTCGACCGCACACCCTCATGGGTGCAGAGGCCCGATCCCAAGCCTTCCGAGCTGATTCTCAGGGTAGATAGTGGGCCACCCAGCAGTCACACGTTTCCAGAACATTTCCTGGCAGGAAATGCTCCTCAGCTTAGAGAATCCCCCCCTGGCCTGCTAGGCCAACTGGAAGTACCCCGAGCCAGCCAGCATCCCCCCCAGCCCAGGGTCCTGATCAAGGAGCTGGACTGAGGAGGGAAGGTTTTAGTAACGGCCAGATATTGATCATATACTGTCTCTGAGTTTCAGCAAACTCATGGTTCCTGTCTTAAGTTTCAGTAACATACCTTAACTTGCACGCATTTTCTTAATGAAATTAAATATACAATACTCAGTTTACAACTTACTCATAGACGACTACATTTATTCAGTGTTCATGTGAGCTTTTCTCCCTTGGTTTCTTTGTAATTGTTATTTAACGACATATACATGTGAAAGCTTCTGTCTGTGCGGTTTTTACGCCGCACAAAGCCGCTACCATTGAGAGTATCGCTGCATTGATGTACATGCTGCGTGTGGTTCCAGAATTCAAAATCGCAAAAAGACGCAGTATTTTTGTGTATAATTAAGGAAATGTCTCATCTGGTAACTCAAAAGAAAGCGATGCATAATCCCATCTGCGTCTTGTGTTACGGATCAAAAGTACGGAACTCAGTATTCACGAATTTATTTGCATGTTTCATCGAGATCGGTTAGAGTAGAATTTGTATTTTACTTGTTCTAAATGTTTTAAAAGCCACAGCAACATTTCCATCAAAAGCTAATCCACTCCCTTAAGGACCTTTTCCTAATACAACAGGTAGGATACCAATGAATCTCCGGGATTAAAATAATTTCGGATTCGGTTAAATAAAGATATGCATATGAAACAAATTTAATGACATTTAAATTTATTTTTAATTGTTTATTGTAAAATTAAAATTTTAAATAAGCGAGGCGAGTATGTCTTGCCAAATATTAAGTACAGTACTTTGTTTTGGTGTAGTATTTTTTGGAGAACAAAAACAGAATTTTCCTAAATTTCCGCTGGATGGCGCCTTGTGTGTTGGCCATACCCAGATAGCACCATGTTATTGTTTCAACGTTGAATTATAGGTAAATGAGTTGAATTATGGTCAGTGTTAAATTATCAACGTTGAAACTGAATTGATTTTTGGTCAGATTTTCAATATTGAAAAATTGATGGTGGCAAAACCTTAATTGATTCAATGTCGATATAAAGTGAAACATTGAAGATCAACGTTGTTTTCACCTATTTGTCAGATATGGAATCAATGTCATTTCAACATATGTGTGCTATCTGAGATATGCTTCCCTGAGACTATTGTATGGGTCCAATGCAGTCCGATCCTCTGCTGACAGATGCCCTTATATTCATTTAAAATGTAATTATTAGACTGAACTGAATTAATTGGGAACTGTCTGAAATGTATAATTATAGGAACATTACAGTTTTATAAGACGAAAAAAACGAAAACAGGCGCAACCAAGGGAATTTGTTATGCATGCGACGCACAAACGCCCAACTGATAAATATCATATAATCCAAGCGTCCAGCTGCTCCTGTTTGGCCCGAAACGGGGCACCTTCAGATGGCGGCGGAAATCCCGGGATCCCACGCAGATTATATAGACTAAACCTCATGTCCTTGAAATAAAAATTAAAAAGTGCACGTCATAAGTGTTTTTTTCATCGGGGACGCAATAAGCATTTAGGCATAAAAGGCTTTAAACACCCGAAGGTCTGGGGGCAACCGACCGTTTTGTGAGTTTGGCGGATGTCGGACATAAGCAAACACACTTTAACATGTATCTAAAGGGAGTCACGTGTATGCGCACACGGACAAACGCAATCGCTGCCTGCTTTCCAATGTTGTTTACAATGGTGTTAAAACGCAATTCGGAGAATATAACACTTTAAGCAACACTAGCCTTCCAAAAAAGAGCATCCCCTTCCAAAGGATCTGCCTTGCTGAGAAGGACAGATGCTCCATTGGAGACTGAGACTGAGGAAGAGGTTATATAAGGACAGCAGAGACAGAAAAATGATCAGGGAGAGGACCCCAGTATCCTAGCGGAAAACTTATGGCTGCAGAGCAGTAAATCAGTCAAGTCAAGGCTCTCTTACATATTTACTGTGTTTCTCTTTTTGGATGCGGGGCTGTGGGCTGCTGAGGAACTACGTGGGTCAAGCAGGGAGGAGCCAGAGCACAAAGTAATATTATGATGAAATGATGACATTCATAGATTGGGGGAGGGCTTGGGGGCAATGGTAAAACATCCAGTTGTATGAATGCATAATAATTCACTTTGGAGGGAAAAAAAAGAACAAAGAAAATGACCATAGGGGAACAAAGGAACAACGATATGATGGAGGAAGGAGCATGTTTTTAAGGGTTCCTAGTCTGTACTGCTGGTGGAGCAGTGTGTGGCTCTGCGTGTTAGCACTCTGGCCTAAACACTACTGGGTCGTTGGTTCAAATTCCAGCGCTGGCAGTGTGTTTTCCATGTTGGGCCCCTAAACTCCAATTGCTCCAGGGACTGAGTGACCCTACTTTCTCTCTCTTTTTTGGGGGGGTAAAAGCATCTGCTAAATACATAAAAAGGCAAATGTAAACGGAGAGAATGACTATCTGCATGGGGGGTTGATAACATATGATGAACTTTTTTGATCCAGGGGGGAGATTCTGAATGTCGTTCTATGATGTCATAGATATGGCCTAAGCTCTCTTTGAAGTTTTTTATTTCAGATTCCATCACCTTCAGAGGCTGTAAATCACACCAAGGTCACCTACATAAGTGAAACTCCTCTGCTTTCATCCATCGTCTCCAGTCTTTCTCTGTTATTAGTCATATGAGTCTCTTGTCTTTTTAATTTTATTTAATTTAACCTTTATTTAACCAGGTTTGTCCCATTGAGATCACAGATCTCTTTTGCATAAGAGACCTGGCCAAGGTAGCAGCAACACAGTGCAAAATCTTACATAAAATTTCATACTCAAACCATGCACTTGCACACCTAGACTCCAGAGTTTTTACCAAAGCTTTAAATTCATTCAAGGGTATTAAACATTGCAGGCAAAGTTCAGCTTGAAGAGTGTTCCACGCATCACGTGCTGAAAGCCTAAAAGCTTTCTTTCCCAATTCAGTTCTTATTTTTGGAGCAACCAGTTTTAAAAAGTCCATCGAGCAAAGATTACGACCTCCTTGCTTCCAGATCAGGAATGATGATAAATAAGAAGGAATTTTTCACGAAAACCTGATTGATATGATGATATCTTTCTTTCAGTTCTGTCCAGAGCTGATCAGTACCTAGGACGAGTCACAGTGACATTGGATTTTGAAATCCCCATTTTGCACTTTTGAGGAAATTGTGCCGAACGGATAGGGGCACTCTGACCCAGCAGAGCATCGAGGACAGCCAGACCTGTCCTCTGTCATTTCTCAGTCACTGCGCTGGCCTGCAAACTGGGTGGCATTTATAAAACACTGAATGAGCAAATCCACAGAAAACCACTGAATGAATGAAGTACGGAGTGAGCTTGGCGTTGCTGTACAGTCAGCATCATTAGCTAGATCTTTAAAATGCCAGGTTTATCTGTCAGAGGTCACATGACTTCTGGGTTACAGGGAATAAGCATGATGATCGTGACAAAAAAAATCAATTAGCAAACCTCAGCTGTTCCATACAATTTTCAAATTCATCAAGTGTTTCACTGGTGTCATCAAAGACACTGATCTGCAAAGATATAGATATAAAGATAGAAATATGCTATCATATCTCCCAATGAATATTCAATAAATGACAGCATAGTATAAATATTCATATAATATTTAAGTATTTAAAATTTTTAAATCCAGGCTATCAAATCAGTAGCAGATTGGAGAGCAACGATGTAACTCGAGTCCCTCACATGTTAACAAAAACACACTTGAAATTGTAAGATTTAGGCAATTAAACCCGAGTGTACAGTAATAACGTCACTGAGCATTGGCAGTCACTTGGCTATTTTCCTGCAAAAAGAAGCTTGTAAGTGAATTTGCCTGATGTGACTGACCTCATAATGATGGTTTAATGCTTTAATCTCCTTTGCCGCTGATACAGATGATCGCCATCCATCTCTTTCTGTCCCCCTGGCCTCCCCTCTGTATCATGCTTTCACTCTGTAGCACTTGTTCATCAATGTTATTCTGATATAAAAATTAAATTTAAATAATTGGACGCCATGACAGGAATGGCATTGACTTCTGGGACTCCTGGCATCTCTCGCTGCCTCCTGCTTCATCTTGTTGCTTTGCTGCTCTCTTCCTCCCTGTCTCCTCTTTTCAGTTGCTGACCCCCCCTCCCCATGTGTGGAGAGCCGTCCTGCCATTAATAATTGCACCATGCAGATGTGATTTCCACTGGGACCTGCTCTGAGGTCAGGCGCAGTCCAGCAGATATTGCATTAGCACTACAAAGAAAGTTAATGAGGTAACCCCCCCGCCGCCCCATGCAAGGCTCTGTAGCTCCGCCTCCAGCCCACATGACCCCGCCCACCCCCCGTGACCCCAGCCGCATGGAGCGCAGCCCCTCGCACCTCCATACCAGTCTGCTGCTGACCGCTAATGACTTTCATGCACTTGCTGAAATGTGGTCTTGCTGCAAAACCCCAAGTGACTAACAGAACCAATTACCTCCCCCACTGTAGTGGGGAGGGGCTTCTACACACAGCCCCCCAGTAGTTGAGCAGAACCTAGAACATGGAGGTGACATGAAAGTCATCTAATCAAAGGCTGTCACACTTTCTACGCTGATATTTGTACACATTTTATAGGTCCATTTCCTCCACTTTACCACCATCATCTCTTCTGCATTGTCAGCTCATCTATTTTCATTTTATTTGTGTAGCAGACACTTTCATCCACAGCTATATATTTCTGAAATCAGAGTCAGTCAGTCCTTGGAACAATTGTGGGTTACGGGTCTTGTTCAAGTGCTCGATGCTGAAATCACTATGCATATGCTGACGTCTGACCCGCGACCTTCCAGTGTTGGTGTCCTAACCAAACCAGCCCCACCCCGGGTCTGTCCTCCACCTTGTGTGCCAGGAAGGCGTCTTTCCTGAGCCCACGGTGGCCGTCGGGGGTGACTCACCACTGTCCCCATGTGACGCCTCTTAAAAGAGGAAGGTGCAAACCCAGCTTTGCGTCCCCTCATTCTGGGCATATGCCACCTGCCGGCTCTGATTGGCACATGCTGTAAAGCGGGGGAGGCGCAAGGTGGACCGGCGGGGCAGGCATTTGGGGGAAGGCCTCACCAAGCCCAACTGCTTCCACTGGGAATTCTTGTTAACACATGTTAGCACACATTAGCACACGTTAGCCCACACGTTAGCACATGCTAGCACACGTTAGCCCACACGTTACAGCAGATGCCATGCAAAATAAATTCAATTTTGTCATGCTTCGCTCACACTGTATATTTAATATATTTAATTGAAAATCCATACGGAAGCCAGCATAAAGCCCCCAAGGATAATGGCTCATAGGCACAGAGAGAGAGAATGCAAATCTCCCTTTATAACAGGAAGCGGGGCTCTATTTCACTCCTGCAAACACGACACGGACAAATTGC